ATTGTCCAGTCAGAATATGATTATCCTAAAGCTTCCATCTTGATTTGATAAGGAATACTGTGAGGGATCTATGACTTGATAATTCATCACATTGATTCAAGGAATGTGTTTAGAAAGGTTTCAAGTTTACAAAGTTTTGGGTTGCAATCAGACAGCATTCAAAGTTGAGGTTAGTTACATGTGTAAACTATATCCGGTCTGTCAGAGGTTATTGTTTGTGTTTGGCTAATTTGCATTTTTGGGAGAAAATACTATTTTTAAAAACCAGAAAAACACAAAAAAATTTGGAACGAAAGAGATCATTCTTATTGATGTTACTGAATCCGATATTTTTCCTGGTACAAATGACATTTGTGTAAGAAGATAGTTATTCAAAAATCATGTACAATTTTTTTTTTTTTCATCAGTTTGGTTCATTAAAGTGGAGAAGAAATTGAATTAAGTTGTTGTTTCGGCAGTTTATGGTTATTTGTTAATCGTTGGCTCAATAATGTAAATATTTCTTCGTTTCTATCTGAAATAACTTAAACCAATTTATCATAAATTTATTCAAGTTTTCTTCACTTGACATCAATTTTTCGAGACGAAATGGTCCCCCAATAGTATTCATCACACCATTATTTTTCCCAATATATTACAGAAAATCATTTCTGACCATTTCTGAACTTTGCAGAAAAGATCTTTAGGTGCAGCGTGCGTGATGTGTCGCGCACTCTCCACCCTCCCCTCCCCCCCACCACACCCCATACGGCTTATTTTTGTAGTCTGCAAGTCGCCATATTGGTTGGAGACTATGACTGAGGAAAAGGAAGCAACTTTCAGAGCAATCGACGATGACTTACAAAAGGAATATAGTGACGGTGAGCCTGTTCAAACCTTTTTCTTAGTGATTACACAAGTAAAAGCTATCAGGAAATAATTTATTAATTGATCGTTTGACAGCAACTCCGTCTGGAACTGAAGATGTCGAACGCAAAGACGATGTAATGTCTTTCGTCGGTCAGGTAAGAGTCAACACACCAAATATTCGTATCACAATACTTTGCCCGTATTTCAATCACCTGTATTGGAGTTGCACTTGTGAAATTAAGGAAAACAATCTGAGGCTAAGAAATCTTTCTCTTTTCTGATGGCATTTGACCGCCGTTAGTTTCACATCATATCGAATCTCGAAACATTTTAGATGCGATTGAAAAGAAAAGAAAATTCAAAATACGTGCGATGGACTAATTGTCATCTACAATATTCAAAGAGTCGATGGCGGATCAATGGTAATCGTGAAGTAGTTACACACGTAGTAAATATTATCGTCCGCCATGTAGGAGTTACACGAGCTAATTAGCTCATGTAAAATAACAGAGAGGTGAGTGTGTTTTGAAGCGTAAAACATAAATGTCGCGTGATTTTATTGAAAATACAGAAGATACAAGTCATGCAGAACAATTATCAAAAGAGCACCATACCCTTATTTTAAGTGATTACGCAAAGAATCTAGAAAAGAGCGTGAAATCTCGATATTTGGAGAAAATATCAGTGGTAAGGATCGATCCAGCTACGCTAATCGGTGCCAACTTGGATCCAGAATGTCTACCGCCGATAGAGCCCACAAATCTCTCTCAGCTCAGTTCTTCAGCTTCTTCTCCTTGTTTATCGACAATAGAAGGTATCCTGAAGAACCCTATAGCCGTGTCTTTTCTGCTATTACTTGAACAACCTACAATAACATAGTGAACCATGACGTAAGATGCTCTACACGCGTGAAATGATGTGGTTCGATACGCTTTGTTTACTTACACGCGACACAAACACGGCGGATTGCAACCGTCGTCAAGCAGTTAGTCACGTGAGTGAAAACTAAGAATTACCGTAATTTCCGGCCTTTTACCCGCGGGTAATCTTTTGATTTTGCATTAAACGCGTGCCACTGCGGGTAATAGGGAGGTGCGATTTATGTGACAATTTTAAAATCTACTGGTAGTTGAATTGAAAAAAATTCTCACCTACATGCGTTTCCACCTCTCAAATGAATTTTATTGCATTAAGAGTGCCACAAAGCGGCATGAAAACATGATGCCGACTCGAGTTTATTTTACGCATAATTAGTTGCGTGACTAACAAATTGTTATCGGCACGCGTGAAAACAAAACCTTGATGGTGACAAAAATAATCCAAAGATATCCGGCGCATCAGTAACAAATTTTCATTTAATACTAGCTTGAGCTAAAGATAATTTTCCCGTTTCAAGGGACGTGTTAGGCCCAATAGAACCGGGGATATCTATTTTTTTCAGAAATCGTCAACGGTACTTTATAATTCAAGTTAACACTCACCCAGCTTCCTTTCAACAAATCAACATGGTGCTGAACTATCGCTCGACAAGCGACTAAATACAGGAATGGCTCCGACCTGTGATTGGATGATAAAAGTAGTGAAAGTTAATAACCTATATCTTAACTCCTTGCATGTGAGTATGGTTAGCCACGTGTCTCGAAGCGGAACAATGAAATATCAATGTGAAAACACCGATGAGTCAAACAAGAAATGGCTACTTACATGATGAAGAGAAGGCAGAGTCTAGCTTGTTCAGCGAGGTCATCTGCTGACTAGCTCTGCTGACTAAATTCATTTATTCAGTTCATGCGCACGACCAGAGACTGGAGCCATATTTTACCGCAGCAAATTACGGTAACATCAAAATCAACCACAACTTGGAATATATATGAACTCAATTCGTTTCTCCTTTGTTTTTATTAGATGGAAGATGAGTATTACGTTAGGCATGAATTGGATAGACTTTTGAATTTTTTTTTTACAAGCTCATTTTCATTTGCAACACTAAACGAAACAAAATGGAAATCTGGAATTTGTGAAATAAAAATCTTAAATTTGCAAATGGGTCAGGTCACCGTTCAGTTCGCCCTAAGCATGCAGGAGTACTTTTGGCGAGACAGTGCTCAGTATTTACATACGCAACCTAGCAAATAATATCAACTAGTATCAACACTTGAGCCCCCAACCTAAACTTCTCTCCAGATCTCTGTCCAATATCAAAGAATTTTGCTGTATTAAAGGAAAATGGCATGAGATCATGGTCATGTTTTCCCCCTGAGGAGGAATGTGTGAGGCTTCCAATTTTCTGTTGGTCACAGGAAGTGCATGTCACGCATTCAAAATATTTATCAATAGCTTACAAGGGTAGATTTCGCAAAGTACACCTCTGGGATTTTCATTTTGCACTTTTGCTAGTTGTTATTTGCTAGGTTGTGTATCCGATTCATCCCTCTGACCGAAGTTTAGAGCTTTTCTTGTTTCAAATAACAGCATAATTACAAATTTTGGGTTCATTTTGTCTCATTTTGCAAATTACAATAAGCCATTTAACCCTGTACTATTCTTTGTTGGATGTCTTGTTTTCCCTCTACTTCATCTGATTTGTTTTCTTGATGTCACTGTACAATTCTTGTTTGCTGTTTGCTTTTCGGTCAAATTAATTTTCATGCATTTATAAATTTTTACTTTTTTTTCGTTTATTATTCACGCAATCTTGTTTAAGTTGGTAAATCTTAGCTTATATTATATGAAAAATAATACATCTCTTGAGGTAGCCTCTTTCAAAAACGTAAAAATGTAAATCCTTTATGTTAAAAAAACAGAATGCAGATTTGGAGGATGTTGATTCGTCATTTGAGGAATCAAGCACCCCAAGTAGTGAGACTGACTTAGAGCATGAAGAACAGCTTGGAATGTCTCTTAAAGAAATACATGAACAGCTAGGCAGTGGAGGAGGGCCATCTATTGGGTTTTCCTTACATGGAGCTTCTAATGGGGGCCTCTTGAGGAATGAGACAGGCATGTTGAGATGTCCTCTACCATCACCAGAGCATGGAGGACAGCAGATCGCAGCTCATGGGCCACAACAGTCCCAAGAGACTCCTAAACTGAGCTCAAAGCCAGGTAAGCATCACTTCTTCTAGAAACATTTTACCCACACAGATTAGTTTAGACAGAGTTTTTAACCACTTTAAGGTTGCCTCATCTCCCTTGAACAGCTAAACATTATTTGACAAGGAATCTTGGGGTGTATTGCATTGAAAATTTAAACTGCTTCAAAAACTAGTAGTACCAGTACCCTTTCTCCTGATCAAATGCCTGGCTACCAAGCTATGAATGAACCAAAGAGTGATAGCAAGATTTCCTGTTGGTTTATGTAAAACTATATTGAAAATCTAACTGGAATGAAAGAATACACAGGCTGATCAATACCAGAGTTAGATATATTATGATAAATGTTAGATGATAATCTTTGAGCAAAGTAGGTGCTTGCAAAAATATTAACCTGCATGGTTGCGTTTTTCTGAGATCAGCAATCTGGAATCAAATAAATGCCTTTCTTTTCATCTTCAGAGGAGACACTGAAGTATAAAACTTTTAGCATTTGATATTTTTTCATCTTTAATTTTCATTTTCATCTGTAAAACTCAGAATACAGCAAGTACTAGAAGTAGTTCAAATGGTTCTTTTTGTGTCCAGATAAATCAGCCAATAGGGAAAAAACGAACCTAACTGTAGGAAGCTCTCATGGGGATAATTGAAGAAGTGCATGGAAAAGAAGCCCTTAATGGCATTTGATAGACTGCTATTTTCTCTCTTATAATTGTCTTGTATTTCCATGTGATACTCAGGTATAAATTGATATTCCATCATAAGCCACCTAAGACAGTATTCTTTGCACCTCTTTCAAATAGTTTTTGGTGTTAAAATATTACAGGTGTTCATCACTAGTTTTGTGATTTAAACAGTAATTGTTAATTACATAAGATAAGAAATTTAGTGTTTGTGTTGGTAGTCCTATGGCCAACCAAGGTAGTTGTCTTGAAATGAATGGGAAAGACAATAATTATTGTAACATGTGGGTGAATTTGTTTAAGTATCAATTAAAGTGATTGGCTAGTTTTGTTATATCCCTCTTAAATTTGGTTCTCTCTCTTTGCATTCGTAGACATGGAAGGCATGTCCAATGGTGCAAATGAGTGGAATGGACTGCCCCATGAAACACCAGCATGCGGAATTAACCCTGCGTTTTTGGCCCGACACTCAACAGACCCTCTCCTTGGAGGTTATACAGCAAGCAATGCTGAAGCAAGCAATAGTCAAAGTCACGTAATTCAACTGGAACAGAATGAAGTGCACTGTATGCAACATAATATGCCATCTGAGCAAGATGACAGGTGCTTATTTACAAACATAGAAAGAGAAAGAATTGCAAGGAGATGGTGTTCTTGTTACAGAGTAAGTGGATTAATTAAAAGAGTGTGCCAGGCTGTGACCATTTTGGTCTGCATGCATAGCAAGTAGAAACATTTTTGGCTGCTAAATTTGCTGTAAGAATGTGTTCAGCAGTTCAGCAGTTGCAGAAATCGAGCTAAACTGTGATAATGCTGCTTTCTCCTCGACTATCTGTGAGAAAAAAAAATTGAGGTGTCGCATAAACATCCAAAGACCATTACAAAGAAAATATATATCAGTATATTCAAATGTTTAAATATTCACTTGTGGTACATGGATGTAAAGTAATGTTGCAATAAGCCTTTTAGAATTTTTTTCATTTTGTTTTCTGGGAACCATTTTAAAACTTTAAATTGCCCAAATGGTTATTTGACCTTTACCTTTTACCTTTTACAAAAGGTTTTGTTTTTAGTTTTTTTTTTTTTTTCTTTTTCAGATAGTTTATGAAGGGGGAAATTACTAATATTTTTAACAAATTTTTTAATTCTCTTGTTTTTGTCAACAGGATGATCCAGATTCTATGCCCATTTGTGAAGTGTGTTATAGGCACCGTTACTGGTTAGTATTTGGATGAGTCAGTTTACAGAGTGTGAGCAAATGTTGTTGAAAATTTTCGAAAGTTTGGCCTCTTTATGTATTTACTGTAAGCACTGGCATATGAGCTGCATTCATAGGGCTTGGCTGCATACCATTTTGGAAAAATGTTTTTGAAAAGAAATCGAAAGAATCCCAAGTGGAATCTTAAGAAGGTACTTTACTTTGATTGCTTCATCAAAGGTACATGTAGATGCACACAAAGTTGAAACAGTACCATTAATAACATTAAAAACAGAGATTACTTTGAATCCTTACCTATAATTGCTGGGTTGCTCACAGCTTAATAGCCAGGCACAAGATCAGGAGAAAGAGTACTGGATGTAAGTTGCTTTTGAAGCTTCAATTTCCTTTGCAGTACACAGCAAGGTTTCTTGTCAAGTAACATTTAGCTGCTGAAGGAAGCTAAGGCAACTTTTGACCAATGAGAAGGTCCCTTAACAAATTACTCAACAAAAATATAAGCTTATGCTTACAAACAAAAACAGCTGCTTTAGGGGCCACCAAACTGGCAAAAGCAATCAATGATAAATTTCTATCCTTGTTTTTTTTCCTTATAAGTTTGCTTTACCGACTCAGAAATTTTTGATGAATTGTTTTAATTTATGCAAATTTGTGGAATGTTTTCCAGATGTTCTTGGAGACAAGCTCCACACCTGATTTGTTACAAAAATTTTAGGGAAAAGGTGTGGCTTATATGCCAGTGTGACAGTATTAATTTGTTAATTTACGTTTTTAATCTTTTGCTTGGGTAAAAAATTATTTCCACTTGATCTTAACATCTTTACCAAAATTATGTCAGAAATCCTCTAAGCATTGTGGCAACTGATGTAGAACTTTTAGCTATCAAAGTCATAAAACAGAAAGTGTGGCATATGCCTTGTAATGTAATGTGCAGTTTAGAAAAGAGCTGTTTAGTAGTTGTTGATTTCCTTCAATGTGAATTTTGTTTTGTTTGTTAACACAGTGGACCTGGATATCGTCCCCGAATGAACCGTGTGGATTTATGTTGCCACTGCTTTGAGGTATTGTATTTTTGCCAAAAAATTACAAATGTAGTGATCTACCCCTTTAGTACAAATGTCTTTTGTTCCCCAGCCTTCCGCAGCCATTCAAATCAGAGATAGCAGCCATAGTTTTTTTGTTACGAAAATACTGAGTACTTGCTTTCCAAAGTTATACCTGAGCATAGAAGCACCTCTAAACAGGAGCAACTTTCTCTCATTAAAATGATTGACACAGCTCCAGTTGTTTCCAACAGATGTTTGTTAGTGTTTGCATCAAGGAAAAGGAGGGCTCACTGTGGGCTGTTTCTGTCATTAACCCTTTAGACCTTATGATCAGTATGCTAATAATTTTTTTTAAGGCAAGGTCCTTACCTGACCAAGAAAAGCTGGCAACTACAAAATTGCTGCTTATATTCTTTGAAACTAACAACATTAGAGTAAAGATCAAACTGCTATCAGCTGCCTATATATACCTCGGATTTTTTTTTTGTGTTGCTCAAGACTTGTTAAAACCCCCTGACAAGCATAGTTTGTCTAACAATTAATCATGCTGTAAACATCCATGTATAAGCCACATCCGTAGATAAGCTGCACCCCCGATTTGGAAGCGCAGTATTTGGAAAAAAATAAAAATAATACAGTTTGAAGTTTCAGTAGAGTTGTATTGCTACAAACAATCAAGGTTTCGAAACACCGACATAGAAGTTGTGGCTATCTTTCACATTTATCAAGTCTAAAGAAAGCGAAACAGAAAAGAAAACAAACAAGTGCTTAGTAGCCAAGCTTTAAATGTTATGAGGAGTCTGGGCTAGGGCCTGGCCATCGTCGACTCAGCTGTTTGGGGATACCACGTGTATAAAGATGTTTGGAAACCCGCAGTAGGCGAAAAATTTCATGAAGAACAGGAGCCTGATAATGCAGTCGATAAATTTGCCATGAAGGCAGTGAAAAACAACGACAGATTCCTTGTATGTTGGTGTATAGTTGTTTGATTAAAGCGAAAATTAATCGCTTGAAAGAACTCTTGGAGAGCAAGATTCACTGATAAACACTCGAAGACACAAACAGCTCCTTTAGGAGCCACCACTCAATGAAAAAGTCAATGAACTACAGCAACCCGCTCTCAGTTTCTTTTATGTTTATTTCTTGGCATCTTAAGAAGTTTTATGAATATTAATTAGGTTTTTGAGAACTCCAAACACAGATGTATCCATGGATAAGCCACACCCTTGATTTTTGGCTTCAATTTTGTGAAAAAAAGTGCAGCTTATACATGGATGTTTACAGTAATCCTTTTCAGTTGGAGTCAATCCCCTTATCCTCAAGACTTCAATGTTCGATTCAGTAGAGGTGTTGTGAAGGTAAATGAAAAGTTAGTGTTAAAGTTTTGTATATCTGCACTTATCTTTAGGAAGTCATTGGACAGTGCATTATGTTGCCTTGTGGGCATAAGGCACACAAGGACTGTGTAATTGCAGCAATTTGCTTCAACATGTAAGTGAACATTTCAAAAGAAAAAAGCATGCATTTTGCCCTCTGTCTAAATTATGGCCCTCCTCCTCATAAATACGTTTTCTTCTAGGCATGATTTTGTTTCTTTTCTTTACTTAATCTTGTCACCTGACACCACTTCTAGTGGAATTCCATCAAAGCAGTTGTACTATAGAATGCTCTGCATATATGTTGCTCTAACCAATAATGAATATATTAGGTTACAAAAAGTATATGCTGATTTACAAGAGGTGTAGCTACTCATCCAATAAGCCATTGGATTGTTCTGAACTGTACTTTAGCTGAACCCAGATTCCACAGGGACCTTACCTTTTTTTTTTTTTGGTTGGGATAATTATGCAACTTTACCTCTAAATAGTTCCTACAAAGTGGGTACCTTTAGATTTCTTGGATAACAGCCTTCAGTTGAACCCTGTCACTTGTCAATTCATTTAAAAGAATAGCTCTGGTTGGGCTTAGGGAAACAGGAGTTTGAGATGCTAGGGGGTTCATGACTTCTCATTCAACAGTTGCAAGGAGAGGCTATATGAGTTCACAGATTTCATTCTTTGGCCTTTTCTTTTACCCCTGGAAAAATCAAGAATTTAAGCTCTTGCTTCCTGCAGGCCACAGTTTTTCGAAGGTTGAATAACCCTATCCACTAGGTAAAACCCTATAAGGAGGATAATGCTAAAATCAGTTTTGCTATCAGTTATCTGCAGGATAGTAATTTATCCGTTGGATAGCATTGTTTGACCTTTATACAACTGGGCCCAGATGTTTAGCATGAGCTGAGTTATAGCCCTGTTTGAGGACACATACATAACATAAAACTGCATATTCCTTGAGTACATGAATATCGCAAACCTAAATAAACTTCAAATTTAGTGAGCTATGACTAGTTTTTACTCTTTTATATCAACTTGATATTGAAAATCAATGACTGCTGTTAGCCTTAACTGATGCACCAAGTGGGGTAAACCATTAGCTTTGCCTTCAAAGGGAGTTCATCTTTGACACTTGTTACATTTTCAAGAAAATTTTTATCTCTTTCAGGTTAAATTGCTCAATATGTGGGAAAGATTTCTTGCGTTTGGCTTAAGGAAGCTGTCACACCTGTGAAAAGATACTTTGTAACCATGTTTTATTATCTTAAAAGATATTTGTGGTCATGCTTAAACCTGTAACCGTGTTGGGTTATTTTAATATCTTAAAAAATGTTCTTGGTCATGCGTAAACCAAGGTTGCCAGGTTGTCAGTCCAACTAATATTAATATTCAGTAGAGCATCACTTAGCTAAGTGGGGCATGCTTTATTTCACTTCCAAATGCAGATTTCTCAAGAGGTTTTGTTTTGCTGGCGATACATTATAATCCCTCCAAAATGAGGTGAACTTTTATAATCTATTAAGGTGGAGGGAAATTAATTAATTTTTTCAGAGAAATATTCTATATTGTCCATGAATTACTACTTTTTCTATTTAAAAATTTGATCACCATGGGTGTAATTGGAATAAGCATTTTCAATATTATTGAAAACTGGTTGTGTATCAAGTAAAATTTTGATGAATTTGAAAAAAATATTTGTAACAGAGTTTTTCTTCCAAGGGAAGTGTTTTAGAAGTATAAAATTTTGGTACTATAAAATTTATCCTTTTCAATAGAAAGGAAACCATTTATTTATGGTACTGGTTCAGTCTTGTAGATTTTATAAAGTATAAATCTTATTTTATTGTTAGTCTGTAACAGACTTATATAGCAGTTAAGTTCACTTTCCATTAAATGGATGAACGTTAATAAGTATAAAATATATGTTTGAACTAAATAATATATTTTGGTAAACTAAAGAAATTAAAGAGAACAAATTATTCAAAGTGCACGTTAAGTTCAATGTTCTTAATTATGTTTTGAGGGTCTTGACTGAATTTCCCTCCAAGAATGATTCATTGGCAATCTCAGGAAGAACATGAAGAAATAATTTTTCTTTTTTGATTTGCAAGTGAAAAAGATACTTTTGAATACCTAAATGAGCTAAGTTATCAAAAAATTATGTTGCATCCGAAAAATTTGTGCTTCCAACCTGCCATCCTGTGATGAGATCCTGTTGGGATGAAAGCTGTTTCAAACCATTCTTTGCTTTCTACTTTCCTCTTTGCCATACAGATACAGGTTCCAAACTCAATGGAAGGTCTTTCACACGAAACTAACATCAGTAACTTAGCTTCATTTGGAAAATAGCACTTCCAGAAGATGTATTAAACTTTACAAATTTTTACCATCCGAGTTCCTTTATTCCAGTGGAATATGGATTTCCACCACTGGAATCATCAATATACGGGAAATATTTGAGGATGAAATTTCAATGTTTTTGTGGAAATGGATCATGAGGCTACAGTGATGAATTGTTCTTTTCTCCCCACCCACTCCATCAAAACCTCACCGGCATAGGGTAAAATATGGACCTGACTATTTTTTTTTTTTTAGGACCTTTTTTTGGACAAAAAAATGGTCCAAAAAAATAGTCCAATCATATTTTACCCCAAGCTCAAAATTCTTTTTATTCCTTCGTTTCAACATGGCGGACAATGATGACTCGCTCCAGGATTTCAAAAGTGATCCATCGCAACTTATTGAGAGAGGTGAGCAAGGAGATACGTTTTCCCTTCAGTTTGATGTTGGTGTGAGTTTTCACTGGACGGTAGAAGTGCCATTTGAAATATAATGGCCTAGTCTTCCCGAATCTCCCCAAGTAAATCTACTTCTAGAGTAAACATCCTGTTTGAATAATTTTACGTACCATTATTTAACAGAAACCCATGCTCTGGCAGAGTTCGATCGTGACTTCCACCCGGATGGGTCTCGGAATGATCAGGTAAATGAAGGTAGTTTCCGGTTTTGGTGTCGAATCTTGAAATGTTTCCCAGGTAGACGTAAATGTTGCCGCTACAAAACAAATGTTGCCAGTTGCTCATTGGCCTCATTGCTCTGTTTAGCATTTGGAACTTGTGCGATTTCTCCTAGGCTAGAGTCAATAGTCATAAATGTTCCTCCTAAGACTAAATAAGCGTTTTACACCGCGGATGCCAATTATAGTGAAGGGAAACTTCATCAATGCTACAGGGCAAAAAAATTCCTATTACGCCGCTAATGTGCGTCAATTATCGCTTTCACTCCAAAGTTTTGATCGGTTTCGCTTTCTCTACAGGATCGATGGCAATTAACGAGTTGTTGACAAAACCATAGACTACCTAAATGGAATATTTATTCTTCATAAGGGGTTTCCTGAAAGGGTACTTCAAAAACAAACTTCGCTTCCTGATCTTTACCTCCTACGTGAATACTCTATATCAGAGGCGGCCATTTGTACGAGAGTGTTAATCTATCTTGACAAAACAAACCCGCCCAATTACGACTTTTACTAGATTAACACTCAGGCTTAAATCCCATGCGTTGTTCGTTTAGTTTTTGTTTACTCAGTCAGACAGTTATGGAAAACCTATCTTTAGCAGAACTCAGTCCAATTTTCTTCTAATTTTTAAGAAAAACAAATGCTGGTTTCAATCAGATTTGTTGGGGTATGTAAACCGTTTGCGGTTTTGTGTATGCGCTATTCAAACCATGGCACAGGTTTATTACATTTGCCAAATAGCTTTAATCTGCTTTCGGTGCGAAGGTTTTTTTGCATGGCAAGAAGTGATGTCTAAGCGTACCTTATATGGTGTATGTGTTTTTGTGACCATGGAAATGAAGAACCTGTATGATTTTATGGGTTTTACAACCAAGTCTTCAAAGCTGTCACTGCACTTACAGTGTGGGTCCCCTGAGTAATAGTTAGGGTGAAAACTTGTTTTAAGTGTAGTGTGCCAATATGTTGTTAATATGATTCTGTATTTCAAAAAAATAATATATGTCGCGGTAAAAGATACAATGGTTTGTTTATGAAGTTTTATGAATGCCAAAACTAGTATAGGTGAGCTATGAAAATTTTTCTTTTCATTCTTAAACTGTGCCCGTCAATTGTTATTTTTCATTTTGCCCTTAATTAACATTTGATGTAGGGAATTGGTACATTACCAGCCAAAATTGGTCTGCTTGTCCAGGCTTGACATTATATTAGAAAGGTGCATTAAAGAGGTATTCCTCTGTCTTAAGGATGGCACATGGGTGAGAACACTTGCCTCTCACCACTTTGGCCTGGGTTTGATTCCTGGACGTGTTGTTACATGAGGGTAGGGGTTGTCGGTTCTCCTCGCTGTGGTGGTGTTTCTCCAGGTCCTCCAGTTCCTTTGGTTTTCCTCCCTCCACAAATACCAATTTTATGCTACTGTGTGCAAACCATAGCTTTAATTCACATATACTTTAGCCTCGTGTGGTATTTTCTGTATTGTGAAGGATAGGGAGAGTCCATAGATTTTTGCTACTTGTAATTTTTTTAAAAATTAATGGCCCAATTTTGATGTTTTAAGGCATAAAGATTAGAATTGAATTTTGTCTACCAAAGCAGGGCACAGGGAATACTTTGCAGGTTTTTAAGAAGACTTGCAAAGAAAATCTTCTGAACATTTGTGAAAGTTTTCAGTGCAATTTTTTGTCTTCTATACTTTTTCCAGACTTGATTGCTATGGTCAAGTACGTATGTTTAATAAGCTGGCTCTTAACCAGAATGGCACTCACAATAGGCCAGATCTTGTATATTTTGCTTTTCCTGAAGATTGTGCTCAGCAAATTAAAAGAAGTGGGCTAGCCACTGAAGGCAAGCTGGCAAAAAAAATTAATAATCTGTTTATCTTTTGGATTTGTTTCTTGCATTTTATGGTAAAGGACATGAAAGTTTCTGTTTCTGATCATTCATCTGTTACTGGCTGCCTGACTTTATTTGATCTTATAGGCACAAAAAAAAGACCAAAAAAAAACAAGCAAGTGCCATAGAGCATTGATGTAAGAAGCATCAAACTTTAACCCAGAGAATACTTCAGATAACTTTAAGAGCCTGGACATAATTGATCTGAACAAAACTCACCACAATCATCACTCATATGACAGTTGCCAGGATCAGGGCATACCCAAAAAAAGCATTAGAAGTGGTGGTGCTGGGGTCCTTTTTCTAAACTTTCAAATTCTAAGTAGTGTCAACCTGATTTGACAGTTGATATTGAATACTTAAGAAGTGCACTCAAAGAGAGCAAAGCAAGGCAAGATACTCTAGGAAAAACTTAAAACCACAAGGAGGCTCAGAAAAGAGAGCTCAACATTGAAGATCACTTTCTTAGGGGTGACCAACCTGTGAACTTTGACACAGGTTTACAAAATTGTGCATGTTTTGATGTTACATTGAATCTAATTCTTCCTTACACAGAAAATGTTAAATAATGGAGCAAGATAAAAGAGGACAAATCCTACTACCAGGCTAATGTACCGTAGTTTCTTGGTTATAGGGTGCACTCACTTATGAGACGCACCGCAAACTTAGCAACTTCGTCAAGCCAAGTTCCCAAACTGAAAATACGTGAAAAAACTCAGTTATAAGACGCACAAAAACGTTGAGAGTTAACAAAAGGATGTGATGGAATTGAAAACAATTATCCCTACACAACTGGCATGCAAACTCTTTTATTAACATAAATAAAAGTGACAAAGTCTCACATTTAATGATCTACTTAAAAACCAAGGCTAAAATTTCACACCTGTAATGAGAAACATAAAACGCATACTTGTATATTTCAGCTTAGGAAACATGCTTCTATTTACAAAATTAAATGATAAATATGCAATGATCCGATTTCATTCTACTATCCATCAACTGACTGTTTTAAAACTCCGTTGCAAAACAAACTGAAATGTTCTCATTGTAAACAGTCAGAGTTAAACTTCAATTTCTAGTTTGAATGCAAATATGCCAAGCACTCACCATTACTCATATGACCTCAACTTCAAGTTGAAAATTGTTGTCAAAGCTGAGGCAGTCAACAGTAATCATGACATTGCCCATGAATATGGCATTTCACAATCCATGGTGAGAAAATGATGTAACCAGAAACATGTCATTTTTTCTGGTGAGCTGTGGATGACAGCAAAGTGTGCATCCATGGAATGCTACCAACTGATGGACCTGAATTTGATATCATGTTACCGAGCACCTTCTGTTAAGCATGTATGCAAATTTTTGTTTGTTTACTTTTCTATAGAAGTTGATTAGTGTTCTAAAAGAAGTATTCCTTTTTAATTCATTGGAATGAAGGTTTGAATTTGACACAATCTTTGGATCCCCATTAGACCAAAGAGCTCTGCTTTTTCTCCTTTTTCTCTTGTCAATTAGTGTCCTTTTCTTGCCTTTATTTACTGTAAGTTCTTCTAAAATTGTGATCTTAAGATTTTGTTGCACAAAAATACTTGGCTATAAGGTGCAACCCAATTTGAGAACTAACTTTCCAACCAAATACAGAATTTTCTTGAAAAAACTGTGTGCCTTATAATGGAGAAACTAAGGTAACAAAACTGAAGCCCAGTAGGCTAAGGCAAATCACAGTGAATAAAGAATATCTCTTAGTTCTGTGTTGACCACAGGTAGGCTTACTGAACCAACATCAAGGAGACATCATTGGTGTCTCTGTGTCAACCTTTTGTAAGATTGTCACAACATGGGTTTGTTTGCTAGCTAAACTGTTAGATGGTTCTTAACTCTAGTGGCCTTGGCATTAGAAGATCAATTGCCAACTCTCCAAATTGTTCAAGAAACACCCTGACACCAGGGTAATTATTGATGCAACAGAATTCTTTATTGAGAAGCCAACATCTCCTTGGCACAGAAAGCAATTTTGGATGATTACAATAAAAGCCACAAATCATTGAAAATTTTTAGTGGGTATTGCCCCTACTGGAGCTTTCATATTTGTTTCTAAATTGTGGTTTGGTAGTACCATGAGATTATTCAAGAAAGTGACCCTATTGACCTTCTCAAGAAAGTAGATCACCCAATGGCATGCAGGTTTCAATTTAGAGACCTTCTGACAAGAAGTTGGAGGAAACTTAACATTCCCCCACTCTAAATTGGTATGATGGTTTGAACCTTATCACAGAAAGACATAATCAGAGAGGTTTCAGGATTATTTCCCTACCTACTCACCCCTTCTATATATTGAAAAGGGAGTCCTCATAGATTAAAACAGTTTTTCCAACAGTATCCCCTTCCCCTTTTTCATGAGTGGGCCTCATATACTCAGTCTGTCTCTGTTGTGGTCCAATTGAAATTCACATTTCCATTGTTTCAGTGAGAGACAATGCATGATAATTTTTCTGCATGCCACTTGCTCTGCCACCTCAACTGGTACTTTATTGTAGCCTCTTTAGGGCAGTATAACTGCAAAACATTAAACTGTTGATTATCCTAACAGATTTATATGCATGCATTATTTGTTTAATTTGGTAAAAATGGAATGAACTCACAGGGATATGTACTTTACTGATGATGAAAATGGTACTGAACAGTCACGAAAACAACTGTTACTTGACTGAAAAGAAAACCCTCCTCCAATCACATTGTTGAATCAGAGAATGATTGCAGGCAGTTACTATTTGTGAGAACACCAAACATCAGCACATTAAGTCAGAACCTGAAATCAAAGAAACTATTAACCCTCTAACTCCCAGAAGTGATCAATATGTAACTTCTGCCTATGATATTCCTACATTTTCCCACAAACAGGTAATGTGAGTACTCAAAGTTATCAAGTAGAAGTTGTTATCTTGATGTAACTCCAAATTCTGGTAACTAATTTACAATAGCAACTATAGGGAAGAATTGACAATCAGATCGTGGGAGTTGACCCTTTGACCCCTAAGAGTGACTGGCATCTACTTTCTCCCTACAGTATTACCCCTGAATCAAACATTAAGGTAACAAGAATATAGAAAATGATCACTAGCTAAAGAAGCTCTTGATTGTTAAACAAATTCTCCTTGTCAGCAACTTAGGAAACATGTAGAGAACAGTATGGAGAATATACATACTAATTTTAGGGTTTGAAGGGTGAAAGGGTGAACAAAGTCATGATGGTCTTGAAATGATGTGATGTGACAGCACACCACCTGTCTAAAGACAAACAGATATTGTAAGGAAAAATAACCCATTTGAGTGCAAATGATTGATGAGGAATGCTTTATTGTGGGAAAGAATGCCAATTATCAATTTTTTTTCCTCCAATTGAGTAACTGGGGTAAAGTTGATCATGTTTTCATGGGTCATCCATTGACCAAGACCAACAAGATGTGTGAAATTTTGTTCAAAGTAGGCTGATAAAAGAATTGTCTTTTTTCATGCATGAATTGGAATCTTGACTCATCTTTACTTTCTGCATTGAATCTGTGACATGCTCAAACCTCAATATACATGTACATTATTTCTTTCTCTTTATCTTTTTCCTAAAATTTTGAAATGCATTAATCTGGGTAATTTGAATGATAGTTAAAATGGAGAAAAAACAAAGGAGATATAGCTTTACCAAATGTTCAGCCTTAATTGTTGTATTGCTATTATTCTAGTCCGTTCAATCTGCCAATATCAGTTTCCTCAACCTCACCTGTTGAAGTCCTTCCTTAAGTGCATAAAGGAGTGTCCTAAATGTGGTTATATAAGCTGAATTTGTTTCTTATTTGGTGTGAAAGCTATTTCTGAGCAATGGAAAAGGCATTATGCCATTCACTCCTTTTATTTTATATATAGTTGCTAAGGTTATAATTTTTTGAATGTTTCTCTTGAAAGACTGGTACATTTCGACAATTTTTTGTAGGATGGTGTGATGTTTTGTTACTCAAATAATTTTTTCCCTTGAAATAACCATAGAAAGATTTAATCATCTTAAGTTCTGTACATTTTCAATTGTCTGGCTTACATGCAGGCTATCTTGATGTGGAAGGAATGCTTGGTTTGAGAATTATCCAACCTTTTTTTTAACAGGACAACCCATTAGACCAGACATCAAATGCACAAGCTTCTGGTGGTGGTAAGATGTCTTCATTTGACTTGGTGTGCCCTGAAGACGATTTATATGACGAGTCTCTTTCAAAAGAGTCTCTCTCAGAAGCAGGTCAGGATTCTTTAGATACAATGCTTGAGTTCATACAGCACAGCTCACTATCTGTAGCTGAAGCAGCATTTAATCAATTGACTCAAGGAGAGTATGCCAGTATTGAACCATTGGCAAATAGTTTCAGTAAGCCACAAGCTGGCTCTGAGAGGCTATCAAGTGAAGAAGAAAATGAAATATCAAAGGAAGACTTCCCTAACACAGAAACAAGTTGTGAAAGTGTGTCTCAAGAGGGTGGTCTTGAAGCAAAACACCAAAAAAACAAAAAAGAACATTTAAATCCTACTTGCACAAACAGTTACAAGAAGCTCAACAACAACTTGGATGAAGTCAAATCTGAAGATGGAAATGATGTATATTCATCAAACTCTCCATATTTTGATGAAGCTCAAAAAAAGTCTGATTCTTACTTTAGCAATCAGGCAAATGAATGGGAACATTTAGGTGCCAGACCAAAACATAGACCCCCTAAAAAGTACAATAATTCCCTAGACTCTTCTTCACCAGTTGACCTGATTCCTCCACAAGTTGTAGAACCTGTGGCTCATGGAGTACACAACCCATTGTTGCCTGAACATCTTGAAGACAAAAAGGTTGGCCATGAGTACTGGGAGTGGATGGCGAGTGTTGAAGTTGGTTTGCTATCAAGGTTACCTGACACAGAAACAAGGGAAACTTTGAAAGATATCCCTCAGCACAAGTTTGCCTTCCTCTTGGATCAAATGAATGAACTAAAGGAAAAGGTAGAACAGCTGACTAAGAAGGTGAAGCTCCAAGAAGAGGAGATACTAGCTCTTAAATTGCAAAGACGTGAGAAGAATATTTTTCAGCCACATACTGAAGATATTAGGGAGCATGAGCCTTGTACAACCAGAGGGTCATCGTCTGACTTTTACCATAAGAAAGGAAATCTCCGTAATGAGACGCATCTGGTGGATAAATCAGGTGAGAAAAGTATCACATGCTTACTGCAGCAACTTCTTACTGCATGCTCATACATAAATGCAAACTCTCCTGGTCTACTGGAAAGTCTTGCAGATCTAAATGAGTCTCCTGGTCACCTAATCACCTACTCTCTCTTTGTCCTAAGTTTAAAATGTTTAGTTGGATATTTCTTCACCAACAAGGAAATGATGAAATTTGTAATGAATAATTGTATAAAAATTTTGCGAATTTTTTCCTCTTCTTTATTACTTACATTTACCCTAGGGAGTAACAATTTAACAATTGTTTGTGACTTCATGGTGAAGAATCATTGTTTCATCTTATAAAACCATCAATGCCTGTGCTTTTCATCAGTCATCTGCTTTTCTGCAAGGTTGTGATTTGAAGTTGCAATTTACCCATGATTTATAAAAATTGCTATATTTTGTATAAAATTGCACAATTCAAGACAGTAAATAGGAAGTACTCACTTCTGCTTTTGCTCTTCAACAATTGGAGCAAATTTTCAAGGTTGTCCACCTTTCAGAAGATTAAGCTTAAAATTTGTCTGCAAGCTGGGCATTGAACCATATAGTGGCATTCATGTGCAGTTTTACTCGTCAGTAACCTTGAGCTACTTTCTGATAAAAAGTCCCAATTGGAAAAATATGATTAATTCTCTCTGTTAATGGGCCAATCTTAATGAAACCATTGACATATTTCCTGATCATTTCATTTGATCCCTTGATAGTTGTGATGTAAGAATCATGGAAAGAGAAGAGTATTGCTGACTATCAAAAATGCTATTAAGAAATGTATATCACTGTGTTGGCTTTTGTGGTAACTTTAGTAACTTGAAAAAAGTGACTTTTGAGGATATGACTCAATTAAATTATAGTTAACATGACTGAATGTGACATCTTACATGTAAGTTGTTTAAATGAAAGTTCAACAAGTTAGCCATAAGCTTACCTAGAATTTGAAAATTCTGACGTAAGAAATGATTTGGTTTAAAATGTCCACAAGCTTTGAGAAAACCCTTTCAAACCACCTTAATGCTTTTCTAAAAAGTTAATTATTAATCATTAACTTTGCATTGGTTATTAAATAACCTTACACTTGCTGCTCATATTTTTGCCTCTACTGCAGGTTCATTTCGGCATCATAGACTTATTGAAATCTCAAATTCCCTGTCAGAATCAGAGTTACAAAGACTGAAAGGCCTTGTTCAACCAAAACTGGATAGCTTTAGACTTGCCAAGATCAGGGAAGGTTCAGAATTGTTTCAGGAATTGGAATCCAGAGGAGAATTGTCATGTACCTCTGTTCGAGATCTTCTAGAAAAAATCCATCGGTTTGATCTAGCAGAGAAACTTGGTTCTTCTTCTCATGGCAGTGATGAATTATCCGAACAAGACTTTGATTCACTTCAAGAGGGAGATCAGAGGGAGGAAGAGTGTGAAACTGTTTGTGATGCAGATGATAGAAAATCTGATGAACTGGAAAAAAGCAGGGGAATGACTGCGTGTATTGAAGGTGAAGAAGAGGTCTCTGTTGGCAACTACTCAAATGAAACTGATGCTGGAACTAGTACTGGGGAGGATCTGTATGAATCAAGTTCAGTAATTAGTTTACAGCAAGAGAACATGGCTGGTTTGAATCAAGATTTTTTTTCACTTGGAGGCACATCAACTTGGAACAGTATCTCAGGTGCAAGGAACACTGACCAGATAGATACAGTCATAGATCAGTCTAATTCCTATGTGAGCAATAGGTCAAATGAATGGGAGCATTTAGGAGCTAGACCTAAACACAGACCCCCCAAAGATGCTAAAGACCCTCCTGCAGAAGCTTCTTCACACCATTCATTGTTGGTTGACCCAGGCCCACATCAAATGAATGAATTTTTGTACTACAACAATGCAGAGAAGGATCTGTCACCACAGGGAGCTTCCTATATGGAAGGCATGATGAACTTGGCTGACTCAAAAAAGGCAAAACCATACTTTGGGGATTGTCAAGTTATTTCAAGGCCTGATCCAATATATTGCCAATCACATTCTTCATTTAATCCTCTGACTGGTGGAACAAGTGTTCAAGGAAATGATACTTCTGCATCATTAGAGTCCACAGACAACTCCCAGCTTGAATTAGAAGAAGAAGAAGCATTTGCTTTGGTGGAAAGAGTTAGAGAAAGAGGAGAAAGAGGAGAGTTTTGTCAGGAAATTGAAAAAATAGAGCGTGGAAAACAACCAGAAAGAGTACAGAAGAAGAAAGAGAGGGAGGCTTGTCCAGAGGCAATAGGAACACCTCTGAGTCAGGAGGTAAAAGTTAGAGTTAGCTTTGGGAATTTGTTTTACATATAGATCAAAACAAAATCCTGTTGTTGATATTTTTCTTTCCATGTGCCACCTGTCTGCTTAAAACATTATACTGATATTGTAAGGAAAAATAACTTTTTTAAGTGCAGGGGTTAACTTGCTAAAGTTGAGGTGCCTAGAACTGATGAGCAATGCTTTAACAGCATTAAAAAATGCAAATCAACCCATTTTGTTTTCCTTTTCCTGGGTAACTGGGGTAGTAGTTTTTAAGGCTTTACATGTCACCCTTTGACCAGGTGGTAGAACTGTGTTTTATTGGGAGGTTGTTTGAATAACTTGAAGGTAGAGGAGTTAGTACTCAAACTTATTTTATTTGGTAATGTAACAGCACAACAAAACATGTTTGAGTTGATTGAGCCACTAGGTCCTTTTTAGGACCAAAAGCATGCAAGGTTGTAAAGTTCTGTTAATTTAACACTAGATTCTAAAATTGAATGATCTGCATTTGAAACTTTACCAAAAATCAAGGTGGTGGCTATATATTTTGTTGACACAATATTTAGCAAAATTAATGTGACCAGATGATAAGTAACAGGAGGGCAGATTAAAATTTGGAGCAATTGTGTGCAATCAGGGTCAATGCTTTAAGATTTTTAGATTTCAGGTGTGGAAGTGGATTGAAGGAAGTTTGATTTGTAAAATTACTGTTTCCCAACAGGAGAGGTATATTGAGATGCCAGGCACCTGTAATGTGGAGTCATTAAACTCTACTAACAACAGCCCTCTGGCCTTTGTACAAGGTGTCAGAGATGCACAGAGAAAGGTTTCAGTGAGGAACTTACTGTTCAGAAGATGGTGGTGCACATGTTCGGTTCAGGTACATGTAAGCTTGTGATGTTTTTTATGCAGTTAGTCATCAAATTACAGGTTCTGTCAGACATTTAGTATAACCACAAATTGCATGGGAAGCTCAGAAAACCATGAATGCCAGAACTGTTTCTGGAATGTTATCAAGTCATGAAGAACAAACCAGTTGCAAGAGAACTTAACTGGGTGCTTGGAGATCTCATTCTATAATGTGATTGGTCAACCATAAAAATATAAAAATTTCACAAGTATTTGAAGTGCTGATGTCTGAAATCCATTATTTTTTCATTTTTTGTTTAAGCCTGGATTTTTCCATAAGGTTTAAGTTTGGTGTATTACTTGTTAAGGGTTCCCTCAAATATTTTCAAGTAGAACAAGGGATATTTTGTGTAGTTCCATTTACTACCCTGGGTCTCATTAAATGCCAAATGTCAGACAAAGCAATGTTGAAAATGGTTAGTCTAGTGTCTTGAAAAAACTAGCTTCTGAAGTAAATTCTGAATTATTTTTTTAAATTATGTTATGGTTTTTCTTTGATAGTATGATCAAGATGCTGGCCCTGCAATCTGTACAACTTGTAACAAGTATCGATATCTGTAAGTATAAATCAGCAGCACAATGCATCAGATTTCTAATCCTCCCTGCCCATGTGTCCTTTTGAACTTGATTCCATTTTGATACAAAAAGATACATAATAAACCAGGAAAGATTAATGATGGGAGATATAGTGGTATGCTGGTTAACACACTTGTTGTCCTTTTCACAATGTGTGGATTGACCCTTAGCTGAGTCATATTTGTCTTTTATTCTTGGGTGAGGCACTTACTCCCACATTGCCTCTCTCTAACCAGGATTCCAAGTCTGTGAAATCATTACTGGCAAACCATATTTTATGGGGATGTCGTTGACCCACTTTGACTCAGAGTGACAATGTTAATGTCATCTGTAAATGACACATTGGTGAATAGAGGTTCATATTCATGAATTCATATGGTATATTTGATTTATCTTTTCCCCAGAGGGCCATGCAGGGTTAGAGTTCAGAGTTGCTATGATGAATGCTGCATCTGCCAGATGGTAATTTTATTTTTGTTATTAAGCATACAGTGACAATTTGTGCCCTTAGTGAACATACAGTAGAACCTTAGTCTCTGAATGGTATGGTGTTAACCCACAGTTTATTCTAATTTTCCAGCCATGCACTATTATGTAACTCTCCATTCATTCAAATTCTTTGATATCTGTCTGTTCTTGACCCCATCCCTCTTTTCTTACCCATAAGTTTGAATGGGTATGGCTCTACTGTACTGTAGCTTAAAAATTCACCTTGGAGAGAGGGTTAACTGTTCCACTCCTGAGATACAGATATTATTTTTCTATACTGTCTGCCACAGATCTATGGGCATTTTAGCTTTGAGAATATGTTGTTAGGTTTAAAACAAAAATCAATATGTTGATATTCTTCTTTCCCCTTCTACTTGAGAAATAACTTCCTGGAGTGTCAGGGTTATATTTTCATAAAATGGAGGTGGAAAGAAATGATCCATGAAATGTGACAAAGAATACAATTCAAGTCTTATATGGTTCCTTTGAGACTGACTTACCTAAAAGATATTGGTTGTTCACCATTCCAGTAGTTACCTTTTGCCTCTTACTAAAGATACCTTTTTTATGTGAGAAGGACACTCTTTTAAATTGGACTTCTGTATTTGCAGCATACCTCCAGCGGTTTGCATATTTTACCGTGCCTGCACAGGGCTCACATGGAGTGTATTATTAGGCTAATACAGCACAACATGTAAGTTTGTCACAATTCAGCCAGTTCCAGCAATCCTCCATCATAATTGAATGGCCAAACTGGAACATTCTATTTTGTAGTTACTTAAGCATTCTCTTTCTGTTGGTCACCATGTAGTCTCTGTAATCATGCTGATCCATTTCGTATTCAAATTACAGGAGATGCTTAACCATTATAAAATCTTTTCTGATGATAGTTACTGTCATTTGCAAAACATACTTTTGCATAAGCAGGTAATTTATGTCTGACCAGTATGTCTGTATTTACTTTGCAGATTACATTGCCCATCTTGCTTTGGTGCCTTTTTTCCGTCAAGTTAATTGTGCTCCAAGGTGTAGTCCAAGGTTGTTTAAGTAGTAGTACTTCTAAAGAGTGAATCACTCAAGTCATGCCTGAAAAACAAGATTCTGGTTCCTTTTTGAACTTTCTTTAACATAAACAGTCAATCACATCCATTGCTTTTGTGTAGGAATCTCCCCCTTCCCTAAAAAAGACTGGTGAGGCAATTATCAGTTAAGGTGACATAGGCAGAGGTGATAACTAGGGAGAGGTAGAGGTGAAGCTAATGCGCAGAGGTGAAGCAGAGCTGTCAGTCAAAAAGCCGCTAACTGGCTAGAACCTCTGGCCAGCCAGCTACTTTCAAGCCTGTTAATCATAAGTGCTGATGAAAATTTTTATGATTATCGAAATACCATCAAAGAAATTTGCACAGGAGCTACTTCCTAGTTTTAGGGGAATTGCATGGATAATTTAAAACTTATAGCGGAGCTCGCAGAGCGCAGCCCCATAATCATACAAAATAGTAGTAACCCATCAAGCCGAAAAAGTTTGGGTTGTGTCCTCGTGTACCGGTACACAAAGGAACGAAACATTAACGAACTGCGTCACAACTCCATGTATGAATATGAAAACAATAGGAATTCCCTCATGTACCGGTACACCAGTACAGCCCTAAAATTTGGATGAACGACCATACGACCGCACAAGGTGCTACTTTTAACATGCGTGGTCAATGTACCGCGGGCAAGCCAACGCCACGGCTTTGTCCAGTAGTCAAGTGGTCAGTGTACTGGGCTCTGAGTCGGACGACCCGGGTTCTAGTCCTGTCCGGGGCAAGGCGTTGTGCCCTTGAGACGTGCGGGAAAAAAATGTGAGCTCCGCTTTTAGGCTTGGCTAAATCTATATATTAGGTTTAACTGCATGAAATAATTCCATGTTCAGAATTTTTGCGAAGGCTCATGCCAACTTCCTGGTTTGTGTTTAGCTTCCTGTTTTCCAAGTAGTCTGACAAAACATAATAGTGTACACAAAAAACTACCTGCCCACTATTTCATTATAGTCCTCTACTTCCAAACCAATTGACAGCCTTGCTAAAGTCAAAGGAGACTGATAGTAGTGTTGTTACAATTATGGTAAACTTTTGATAGCTGAAGAGAAATCTTTATTTGCTTCAGTATTTAACTGAATATTTATTCAATACCATTTTTAAGGGGAAAAAAATCAAAGCATTTGGTGAAACAAAGTTTGGGAAGTTTGTTTTCAGCATCAAAAGATGCATATGTTTTCGTCATCCATCGTACTTCCATTTGTTTACACTACGCAATAATGTAAGTAACAATAATTTATTAACATGTATGATATGAAAGAACAGAAGACATTAGCGTTAAATGTTCAGCTGAACAAGTAGTATTGTTATGAAACCCAAGTAAACAATACCCATAGAATCATTCATTCTATGTTGATACTGGACTTCTTACTTGGATAGTCATCCAGTCATTTTGAAGCTAATTCTAGCTCAGATAGTGACTTCATCAAGATGACTGCCAATATAGAAGATAATCAGAAACTATGATAGAGACTCATTGGAGTTGCCTAACATTTTCCTGCTGGAAGTGGAATAGAAGGAAGAGAGGAGATTGAGAAATGATTGATTGAAAGAAAAGATTGAAATAAGAGCAGAAATAGCAAAGGGAGGCAGGGAGGTGGAGAAAGCCAGATGGTGGACACAATGTCTGGAAGCAATGAGAAGACCCTCGCATTTTTGGGAGGTAAGAGTTCTTGTAAAGCAGTGTCTGCCATGAAGGTCTTTTGCTTCCATTCTCCAACACCTCTATCAGTTTTCAATTGCTACCAAGATGTTGTGTACCAAACTGAAGAAGTTGTGAAATGTTTCTTTATTCTTTACACCCCAACATCAGTATTCATATTCTCCATACTGTTCTCTGTATGTTTACTGAGGTGCTGACAAGGAAAATTTGTCTAGCAATTAAGAGTTTCTGTAGTTGGTGATCATTTCCTCTATTCTCATGACATTAATGTGTGATTCAGTGGTGATATTGTTAAGATAAATTAGATGCTAGTCACTCTTAGGGGTTAAATTGTTAATTGGTGGCATAAATTGATTTGTTTTCCTCTAAATTGCTTATTAAGATATAATTTTTTGAGGGTTTTTTTTTTTTTTGGATAATAAGAATTATTTTTCCTTTTTAGAACTCTCTGAATTCTATGAGCTTCCTGTTGCACAACCAACAGCTCTCACAACCAAGTCAGCTCCTAGGTATTTTTACAAGGGGTATAAAAGAGCAGCATGGTCGAGGATTTCAGCAGAGAACCCATAGATCATGGCACAAATGTACCGGTGAAGACGTAAGCAGCTGATGTTTTTTTAATTATAAAAAGTTAGTCATTGATTTACTGGTTGTATCAGATCTGGTAGTAACTATAATCAAAAATTGCTTGAGGTGCTGTCAATGTGAAGCTCAGAAAACCTATAAACACCAGAAATATTTCTGGAATATGTTATAAACTTGAGAAGGACAAACTAATGAGGCAAAAGGGAGCTTTTAACTGTCGGCTTGCAGATCTCATTTTGTTTGTAATATGATTGGTTGATCATTATGGAATAAACAGTTAATATGAACTACAGGTGTTAATGATTCTTTAGGTACTTTCTTGAATGAGTGTTAAAGTGGAAAGGAATTGTATAAGTTGTGTGAAAGCTCATATCCATTTGGTTTTTATTTTGATAGAAAATTGATGGTTTTTAATGAGGCCTGAAGCTTATGTAAAAATTAAGAATTAATTTCCAAGCTTTTGCCGATCCACAGAAACCACTCTATAATTTCATAATGTTAAGTACCAAAGAACAACATGAAACAGTAACTGTTTTTTTTGGTTCTGTTTTGTTTTGTTTTTAATGTTTGTTTTTTTTAATGGGGTTTATTCCTTTTTGGTATAGTGAAGTGAAATCAAAATAATTATTGTTGTTTAAAACAAGGGATTTTTGTGTATTCTTTGTGATCTACAATTGATTCCATGATGTGTTTGGGAATAAGTTTAAGGAGCTTTGATGTTTATAGTATTTCATAAAGCATTAATTGATATGATTACCCAGAAGTTTTAGTAGGTATGGCTCTACTGTAGCTTAATAACCCACCTTGGTTGAAAGGTCCAACCGTTTCACTCCCAAGATCTAAATATAATTTTTTTCGCACCGTCTGCCATAGATCTCTGAAAATTATAGCGTTGAGAATATGGAGTGAAGTAGGTCAAACAAAAGTAATTTTTGCTTTCATAGTGAAGACTGACGTTGACTGGGGCAGTAGTGATTTATAAAATAACTGGTCGTTCTTTGACTAGGACCAAAGAGATGTATCCAAAGGGCTTAAGTTAAACCGAATTTGTACCTACGTTTATTTGCAGGATGCACGCAGTGTCTGTCACTTTTGTGGAGTGTATTGTCAGGCTGATTTGGCACAACTTGTAAGTGTCTAATATGCAGTCACACATTGTTAAGCTTAAGTTTGCACCGAGAAACTTATTAAGTTTTCTTAATCAAGACGACAGGGCGTTGTCTATGGAGGGCTACCATTTCATCATGTAGATTTCTTGCTCTATTGCAGCATCACCAAATGGCAAAACTGTAGCATGCCATTGAAAAGTCACTCCTGCTCCAACGTCTTACTGTCACCAGGCTCTGTAACTGTGCTTTGACGCTTCAAATTCTGCATCACACGTATTAAGTGCCACAAGGAAATTGATATTGTAAAGGGCCTTCACACTCAATTTTTAAACATTTTACGACCATTTTCACTGTCGCTAGTTCTATATTCCTTAAAAGGTAGTTACTGTACATCTTTTGAGTGACTCAGCGATTCCATCTTTAATGAGGAGTGGGCTGGTAATCTGAACTTTCAATTTCTTTCCTAATGCAACTTTATGCAGCATTTGAATGCTCTTCGCTTACTTTGATCAAGGTGTAACAAATTTAAGGGGCAGTCATCACGAATATCTTCTCTGTTTTTCTTTGGTTATGGAATCTTTTCAACATGTGATTGTTTATATATATATACATACATATATCTGAAGGTTGAACTAATCCATAGGACATAACCTTTTCTTAATGACCAATGAAGGGCCTAATCAGTGTCTTATTAATTAGTATATATATATATATATTTTTTTTTTTCAGATCATATTGCCCATTGTGTAGGCATGGCTTTTTTCCTCAAGGCTTTATAGAAGTGAAGCCCATCGTTGTTTAAGGAGTGAATCACCCGAGCCACGCCCTTGAGATAGGATTCTGGTTCATCTTAACATTTCATGTCATACCAATGGGGAATCACGTCTGTTACCCATGAGTGGGAATTTCTTCCTCCTTTTCCTCAGGAAAGGTTGACATAGGGTATATATTTTCACCATAAAAACAACCTTCACCATAAAACAATCATTATTGTCTAACCTGGTGAATCTCAGTGTCCTTTAAAAGGCCTTCCATTATTTTTTATTTATTTTATTTGATATTCATTTCCTCCATAATTTAAGTATGATTTAACAAGGAAGAAAATTTGTGATAAACAAGAAGGAAAATTGTTGTAAAATGTAATACAATGATGTGGCAAAGGATAGTTAAGACTATAGATATAGCCCTGTTTTAAGTTATGTAGGTTCTGAGGTTAAAGTAAAAAATAAAATGTTGTATGAATGAGTTGTATTCTGCTTACTGTCTTTTGATTGGGGTCCCTCCCGCTTTAAATTTTCTTACTCATAACACCTCCTTTGGAAAGTTTACAGACAAATGGTTAAACTAGATTGTGATTTGCTTAGGTGATTCCATGATATTACAGCCCAGTGATTTTATGATTTCACAGTCCCGTAATTCTATGATATCACAGCCCGGTCGAGCAAAAGCTCATACTAGGGAGGGAAAGGTACAGATTATATATGGAGGCAAGTACAACCTTTAATTTTAGTTCTGTTTGGCTGTAAATTTATAACGACTTCTATGATGAAAATTCAATAAGCGTATAAAGATAGTTTAATTCATGGTGAGTTCTTTTACGTGAAACATGATCAGTAAGTAGGAACAGACCCAACGATCGCCGTCTTCATGTACATCATACTGTCGCAATTTGTATTTCAAAGTGAAACCTTCTTAGCCTTTGGTCCCATCGTTTTCAAAGCAAGAAACAATTAATTTGGAAGTGAAAGCAGAGATACATGTCACAACCTATCAAAATGCAACGTCATGGGCGTCGAGACCAGTTGTTCTT